CCAAACACATGGAGATCATCACCCCCTCCTTGTCCTTTCAGAACACTAAGCTCTCAGTGTAGCTTGCCACATTATAGCACTGAGCATTTGTTCAACCTCAGGCTTGAGTGTTTCTGATCGCTCAAAGGGACGACATTTGGCTCAGCTTTGTGGCCACAAAAGGCCAAAGGCTGTAGACACTAACCTCAAATGAAGTCAGACACATGGTCACTGAGACAGTGACAGGGCTGAGGTGATGTTCAACACCAATATAAATATGGATCCATCTCTTGATCCCTCTGCCTTTAGGCACTGTAACTTGATATATTTTTAAATCTTGAAATTGCATTACGAACAGCACAGACTACTTTGTGTGTGTTGACCACATTAATTTTTTATATATAAATATTCATCCCTTACCACACTTTCCCCCTATTTTGGCCTTCATTTTAAAAATAAAAACACCAACAATCTCAGTAGACACTAGAACTCTTGCCCCACCTTCCCATCTCTTACTTTAGGAAGCTGTTTCTTCATCAGTGTGTTGATAGCAGCAGTGTCTTCTTCATAAGAAAGAGAAATTGCTTCCTCCATTGTCTCACTGGAGCCTTCAGGCAGGGCTGCCTGGAATGGGTGTGCACCTTCTGCCTTTCAGGCGTCCTTCCCTCACCCTGTTCCCCCGGTTGTACAAAGGGAAGCAAAGCCACAGGAAGAACCCCAACCCTGGCATCCTGGAAGCACTTCTGAGCTGTCACAGAAATGTGTCCAACAGGGCTTAGGAGCTTAGGAGCACAGGAGAGGAGGGTGGATGCTGAGGGGAACGTTTTCCCATAGGAACCCACTGGCCCAAGGCATCAGCCAGTAGTGACTTTCACACATAAGCCAGACCTCCAAAGATTCTGACTGGGTACCTCCCACACACACACCATCACTACCATCCAGGGGACCACAGTGTGGGAAACTCTGGTTTAAACCTTAGTCCTATGGTACTTCTTCCCCATCTACTGGTCTTCACCCCTGCCACCCCCAGCAGATTCACAGCTGGATGTCACACACATCACCAGGCAGCAGAACACCTGTAATACACAGTGCTTGCCACCGGTACCTGCTATGGTTGAGTTTATCACATGCCCACATCACATCCCACCATGCTCTGGGAACAGGAATTCCCACAGATGTGCTTATTGACTGGCAGGGATTTGGGAGGCAGAAGAAACTTAATCCTCCTCAGCAAGGATACATATCCTCCTAGAAGGATACAGATCCTTCTTTCACTCTTGAGTAGAAGAAAGCCCTGAGTCTCCTACCATACTCCCTGGTTCTCATCTCCCATCCTCAGAGCCAGCTCCAATTTCAGCAGATCTTTTGTAGGGCCCTCAAGTCCCTTAGGCTAAGTGCCTCAAGGCATTTCGGAAAAGCAGAGTGCAGGGAATGTCCAGGGAGAAGCTGCTTGCGACATGCACTCCCCATGAGCCAGGAGTAGTCAGGGCAAGTTAAGATACCTACCTGGACAGGTCACTAAAGACCAGGCAGAGGAGGGGGACCAGGGCAGGAGAAAGCACAGATCCATCACTAGCTCATAAAGGGCCTTTCTGGGCAGGTGAAGCCTACTTCCGGAAGCATGTGAGCCTGGGTTTAGCTCCTACTTGTCCCTTCTGTCAGTTGCTCCTGTATAGTGAACTACCGGGACTCACAGCAGAAAGACCAGACAGAAAGGAAGAGGGAAGTCCACCATGGCCATTCAAAGCCTACCTCAACCATCCTTACCCTCTTCCTCTGGGTGCCCAGAGAAGGCCCATCTCATCCTTCTCAAGGCCTTCTCAACTTCCCCTCTGGCAAGTGCCATCGATGGACCATCTCTTCCCACAATTCTTCAGATCTGCTCTCTTAATAGGCATCCAACACCTCTCTGGACTAGTGGCATTTTTAGAGCCAAATATATCCCCTCTCCCACAAGACTACTGACCTGCCTGACACTCCACAGGTCACCTGGCACAGGGCAGCATGCAATGGGAATTCAGGGTGCATTTGCTGATTGACTGTGATGGAGGAAAATGTTGTGGGGCTGAAAGGACTCCTGAGTCTGTCTCAGGACCATCAGAGATCCCTGGGGTAACACAGAAAAAATACTTCCCTAGCTTCCACCTCAGTTTCCCATGTATGAGCTGCTGGAACCATCTCCACGGGTTCTTCTGGCAATGAACCCCAGCTTTCAAGAATCAAAGCCCAAGGCCACCACCAGCCAGTCATCCCTAACTTCCTACCACCCAGTGTTAGCACAGTGCTAGCTGCAGAGCAAGCCATCAACGTGGTCTGTGGGTTACTGCAGAACAAAACAGCATAACTTTCTATGCTTTGGCAACTTGAACACTGAACTTGGTGTTTTATTTGCCGAAACACAGACACAGACATTTAACCTGCCCATCTCAAGCAGAAAGGCTCCACTAGGGAAAGACCTGCTAGGGACTTCTGGCGCCATCAGTGAGAAGGCTAAGAACAAGAGAGGGGAAGAATCCCTGGGATTCTTGGGAAGTTGGCCAGGATGTCCACTAGCTTCTGGTAACCTCTTCCACCACTGGTCACTAGCTCTTCCAGGTTGTTACATGACACAAATTAACTTTGAGCTATCACCAGCTGAGAGTGTCTATTCCAAGAAGGATTTGTGATAGAGGACACTTAAAGCAATCAGCCACATCCTAACTACCGTGCATTCGGATTCCTCAATAGGAAGGGTCAGAGATAGGCAGCCGAAAAACTGAAAAATGTCTATTTCAGCAACTGGTCAATTCTAATCAATTCTCTCCTCCAGGAACATGAAAACAGGGGCTATAAAGGGTTGAGCAGTGGTCCCGCAAAAGATATTTCCACCCAGAACCTAAGAATGTGACTGTATTTGAAATAAGGCTTTGCAGATGTAATCAAAACAAGGACCTGAAATCACCCTGGTGGGGGTGGGGGCTGAATCTAGTAAGTCTTCTTAAGAGATAGTGGAAGACACAGAGACATGGAGATAGGTCATGTAAACAAGGGGCAGAAATTGCAGAGAGGCTGTTACAAACCAAGGAGGCAAGGACTGCCAGGAGCCACCTGAAGCTAGGAAAGGGCCATGGAACAAATTTTCCCTCAGAGCCTCCAAAATGGGTTAACCTTTGACACCTTGAATTTGGACTTCTGACCCCTCGAGTTGTGAGAGAATAAACATCTATTGTTTTAAGCCACGCACTTGGTTTGTTATGGCAGCCTGCAGAAACAAATAGAGGGCCCAAAGGTGTCATAAGGTCAGGCTGGTAGGAGCATACTGGGGCCAGGGAGAAACTGACTCAGAGAAAGGCATGGCCAGAGTGAGGACCCTTGGGCTCCTGCACTACTGGGCTGCCCCAGTATCGGTCCAATAATGACCCTTAACCTGAGTGAATCCACTTTCTGTGACTTCTAACAAATGTTAAGTCTTTAAAAATAGCCCTTTCCTGGCATTCTGCCAGGTCAGGGAAAGTGTGCTGTGCAGCAAGAGGTAGGAGAGGACTCCATAGATTCCCCCGAGCCAGAAGGCAAGTGCCAGTCAGCAGAAGGGGGCACTGCCTCCAGGCAGAGTGCTCTGAGGGCAGCAGGCCAGGCGCCAGGCTTGAGGCAACCACTCAGATATTGTGGGGAGTGCACCGCAACTTTTCAGAATATCCCACGTCTTGAAGGGATGCACCTTAAAGACCATTTTCTCCAGACTGCAAAACTGGGGGAAGGTGAGGGTGCTGAGGCATTTATCACTTTCTAGTGACCAGAGGAAAGTGACTCCAGAGACACTCCAGTGAGTCTTCTGCTGGAACAGTTGAGTTTAGGGAGGAGAAAGGTTCCGGTGTGTGCTTACTGCTCTCCGCCCTCTGTGAGTCAGCTTTCTGGGATGAGAGGAACGCCAGGGCCCTTGGCTGGCTCACACTGTGGGGAAGGAAGAGGCTGCCAGCGCCACTCCAGGACCTGCAGCGCAGGTTACTGGATGCCTGAGAAGAGGGGATTCATACACTGGGGTTACTCTGAGTCTTTGGGCTGCAGTGGGGGATAGGGAAAGAAGAGATAGGTGAGGCCAAGACTCAACCCAGCCTGCGACACCACCAGATCTCACTTTACGCATTATTCTTCCGCTTCTACCCTTCATCAGTGGTGGCGAACCTATGGCACGCATGCCGCAGCCGGCTGTTATCACTGAAAGTTCTTAAAGGTTCGCCATCACCGCCATTGGGGAAAGCAGATACTTTCACCATTTCTTCCTGCACCGGGACGGGCAACGGGGGCACCTATTCCTGCCTTGTGCCCTGTAGCTTTGATCTCCTGGCCACTCTCCTGTTTGCGTGGATGTGGTTTTTCACTAGTTCTGTGGGTGCTGTACACTGCAACCATTTATCCGGCGCTCTGTTACAAAAGCGTCCTGTTAGTGACCCACGTCCATCTTCTCACGACTTCCACAATCAGACTCGTGTCCCATCTTACAGAAAAGTGAAACTCGAGGTGGCGAAATGCTTCCCCCAAGGCCACGCGGCCACTCAGCAGCTGGAATGGGGATGCGAGCCCATTCTCGAAGCCGGCTCCAAGTCTCCGCAACTCGCAGCGCAGCTCTGGCTTTCCTGCCCGCCCCAGCTTCCCATTCGCGGGGCCCGCCCCCGGAGGAGCGTGCCTTGGCCGCTAATCGCCGGCTGCCCCCGCCGGGGTTTCACTGCCTGGAGACGCCCGAGTCAGCTCAGCCAGAGCCGGCTCCGCAGCCGGGCGCCGCCACCCATTGGCCGACGGTAATTACGGGCACGCTCCGGGAGGGGGAGGGGCGGGGGTGGCCTCCCGCGGGCATAAATTATGCAAATAGCCGGGCGCCGCACGGGGCTGACCTGCCGCCGCGCTCCATTCACCCGAGCTGCCTCAGGGGTGGAGGTGGCTGGGGAGGGGGGCTCCCATTGTTGCGTCGGGTACTTAAAGGGTCCTGAGGCCAGTCGTGTGCCACACTCGGTGCTCACACGAGCTGATCAGATCGCAGGCGACATCACTCGGGAGACCAGCCCGGCGCGTGGCCCCTGCAGGCGAGGCGAGAAGGCAAGCCAAGTTCCCCTTGCGCTCTTGCGCCTTTCAAGGCCCCCCGCGCCCGCAGCGGGCACAAAGTAACCCCGGGCCACTCAGAACTTAAGTGCCCCACTAGACCCAGCGGGCCTGCCCTCAGCCGGGCTTCTGCCATCTAGTCATCGTTCGATCCATCCGTCGATCCTGCACACCGCAGCGATGCCAGCACCTCTGGAGACCTGCCTCTCCGACCTCGACTGCGCCAGCAGCAGCGACCTGTCCGGCTTCCTCACCGACGAGGAGGACTGTGCCAGGTTCCAATCTCCAGCCCCCGTCTCGGGGCCGCCCGCGCCCGCCCGCAGGGGTGCCCGAGGGATGCCCGCAGCGTCTGATGTTCCAGGGGCTCAGGACGAGGAGCAGGAGCGGCGGCGGCGCCGGGGTCGCGTGCGAGTGCGCTCGGAGGCGCTGCTGCACTCCCTGCGCAGAAGCCGGCGCGTCAAGGCCAATGACCGTGAGCGCAACCGCATGCACAACCTGAACGCGGCGCTGGACGCGCTGCGCAGCGTGCTGCCCTCCTTCCCCGACGACACCAAGCTCACCAAGATCGAGACGCTGCGCTTCGCCTACAACTACATCTGGGCGCTGGCCGAGACACTGCGCCTGGCCGATCAAGGGCTGCCCGGGGGCGGTGCCCGGGAGCGTCTCCTGTCTCCGCAGTGCGCGCCCTGCCTGCCCCGGCCCCCGAGCCCGGCCAGCGACTCTGAGTCCTGGGGCTCCGGTGCTGCCTCCTCCCCCTGCGCCGCCGCCGCCTCACCACTCTCTGACCCCAGTAGTCCTGCTGCGTCGGAAGACTTCCCCTACGGCACTGGCGACCCCCTTTTCTCCTTCCCTGGCCTGCCCAAAGACTTGCTCCACACCACACCGTGTTTCGTCCCTTACCACTAGGCCCTCTGCAGACACCGTTACCTTCCTCTTTCCCCAGTCAACAGGCAATAACCCGGAACCCAGCTGCGGCCTCAGGACCCCTACTCCAGGCGGAGGGAGGGAGCGGGAGCTTTCAAATGGTTGGGGGATACCTGAGAAGCTTGTTAGGTCGCTGCACCCTCGTTGAGGCTGTCCCTTGGTCTGTTTCTCCAGACTTCAGCAACCCCCTCCTGCCCGCCCTCAGCCTGGCCTTTCCTTTTGCACTTTCTGAACTCCACAAAAACCTCCTTTGTGGCTGGCTCAGAACTGACCCCAGCCACCACTTCAGTGTGATTTGGAAAAGGGACAGATGAGCCCCTGAAGACGAGGTGAAAAGTCAATTTTACAATTTGTAGAACTCTAATGAAGAAAAACGAGCATGACAATTCGGTTTGAGCCGGCTGACAATACAATGAAAAGGCTTAAAAAGGAGACACAAGGAATGGGCTTCATGCATTATGGATCCTGACCCCCACCACTAGAGTCGAGCTCTAGGAAGGACCCAAGCGCTTGGTAGCTATTCAGGCACTGGGCTGGAGGGTACTTTAATTTATTCAAGATACTTCATTCATATGAAAATGTATTTTTGTATATAAAGAGTTTATTATTATGAGCTATGGAAGTTTACATTTTTGTACTGCAGATGCTTCATGTAAATAAAAACTAAAAAAGTCACCAAGTTTCCTACCTAATCTCAGTGTCTCGGGCTTTTTCTTCCCTTCCTCTGGTGGCTCAATGACGAAAGTGAAACATTATCTCCATCCACCTCCAAACCCTCCCGTCCTGTTTCAAAAACAATTATAAAATAAAATGCACCTGATTTTCACCAAGAACCAGATAAAGACAGGCCAGGGTGTTTGGGATCCATCATTTCCTTTCACAATGTAAACACAAGGGCAATCTCTCAGGCACCCCATAAGCCAATTAAGACTTTTTAGTGGGGAATTAGCCCTGGATATGCTGCTACCTGTAGAGGTAGGGGCGGCGAGAGAGTCTTTCTTTTGAGGAACTCCACATCAGCTGGCTCTGTGTTTCAAAGAGCGAGGATTAAAAAGATCAATATAGTGTGACCACTAGTTAGGAAGTCCCAGTGACAGGTGGGCTTAGGCTGGGCAAGCAGAAAGGTCCACTCTTGTAACAGCCTATTTAGAGGGGAAAATTGATTTGTAGGCAATGCCATTAAATTGTCTATTGAGGCTGGGGTCACTCTAGCTGTGAGGTGTGGGATGAATTATGCTGGTGTGGTGTCTGTGAGTGAGTGGGTGTGCAGCTGCCTAAAATTATGAGGTGGGGTGCCTGCGCCCCATTAACCACACCATATATTTATACCTACTACAGTCTGAAGTGTGGTGGAGCGGTCCCTGTAGAGGGAGGGCCTGTGCTGGGCCTGCTCAGCCAGTCCTCAGGGCCATAGCCAAAGCTTTCATTTGCTGCCAGAGAAATCTCAGCAGGGACTTTTCTGGCTGTAGTGTATCTGTCTGTGGTCTGTCAATTAGCTAACAGCACCAGCCAATAGCAACTTTGTTTTCAAATTCAGAATGAGGATGATACAAAAGGTAGTTCCTAAAGTGGTTGTCCTTGTCTATTTCCCCAGCCCTCACATTGTTACCCTACATTAAGACCAAATTTTCCCCAACTGGGCTACCCACCCCTTTTTATAAAGAATACACTTATCTAGCAGCGAGTGAAGGAGGTGGGACTAGGTTCGGAAAAAAATGTTATCTAAGGTGTTAGAGCGGTGAGTAGACACAGAGCAAGGCTACCCGCAGCATTTCCCCTTTGTGGAAATGTTTTCCCTCTGCATGTGTTCTCTTGCTGACTTAGATCCACAGAAGCCTATGCTGGCCCTCAGCAAGCATTACAGAACCCAGCTATGAGCAAGGTGCCTTCTGTCAGATAAAAAAAACTTAACACTGCAGAAAAATCTGGACAACTGGACACCTATAATTGTTCTCAGAGCAGACAGAATTCTTCAAGAGATGTTTCTGAAGTTATGAAGACCAAGAACAATGGTTCCTGCTAAATGCTCCAAGGGTAAAAAAGCTGTACCTCTTGAATGGCCCACCCTGGGGTCTGCTCTACTGTCTATGTCAGAATTGCATTACTAGCTTTGCATTTCCTAGAGCAAAAAGACATGGTCTGTATCCTTTCAACCTGAGGGACCCAGGCTGGGTTTTCAAGAAAGACAGGCCCCCTAAGAAACTCTTCAACCATGATGCAGATGTTGTCTGAGACAGCAGGAGAGAACAGCAGATTGTGTTTTTCATTGCCTAGAATCCTTGGGGAAAGCCCCAGCTAAGGACTGGAATAGGAGCTTTGTCTCATACAGCTGCACACAAGGGAAACATCACTACCACCAAGACTAAAGAATAGCACACTGTATTCCCAATTTGGTTGCCACAATGGACTCCCAACTCTAAGGTGCAGGACCCAGAACACCTTTCCATAAAGAAAAGTCTTTAATGACATCGTTGGGGTGGGGTGCGTCTCTACCCTGCCAGTTAATGCTATTCTTCCAAGGAAGCAAGCATCAGAGTGTAGCCCTGGGAGCTCTCAAACAGGAGAAAAGAAGGAAGGTGATTTAAAATGCTTATCCCCAACTCAGGGGCCTACTTCTTCCTGCAGTAAAGTCTTATTCGTCCTGGGCATCTGTGAAGGCAGGCTGAAGGATTACTAATCAGTTATAGAGCAAAGAACTTCCTGCTGACAGCCACATTTCCCTGTCCTCGACATCATCTTCCACTGAAGAATCAGCATGCACTTAAGTAGTCTTATTTATTCTCTCCCTTGATCTCTTTATTTTTGTCTTGGTATAATATACAAATATTTTATACACCGCTTATGAGCCCTTGGGAAGTCAGGAAAGGGACGATTTCAATGAAATAATAAATATTTCACTCACTCTCTCATTTCCTTAATGATTCTTCTCATCACCCTCCTTCTATGTGCTAGGCATCTTTCTAGGCATTGGGACCACAACAGACAAAGCTCTTGCTCCAAAGGAGCTTACATTCTAGTGGGTAAAGACAAAATAAATTTGTGATAAGTGCTAAGGAAGAAATAAAATGGAAAAGGGGGATCTAAATGTCAGGGTAGGAGAGAGATGCTCTTTTGGAAAAGATTCTTAAGGGGTGGCTTTTGGATAAAGGTCCAAGAAATGCTATGGTTTGAACATGGTAGTGTTCCCCAGGGGTTCATATGTCAAGGGCTTTGTCCCCATGGTGGTGCTACTGGGAAGTACTGTGGACCTCCAGCAGGTGGTACCTCATGGGAGGTCCTCAGGTTTTGCTGTGATGTGCCACCTGATCAGAGCCCCAGATCAGTGGGGCACCCAGCCCTGGACTTGATCTTCCAGAACCAAAGAGCTCTTTACTTCATAAGTATCTGGTGTCAGGTATTTTGGTATAGTCACATGAAGGTGATTAATACAGTGAGGAAGAAAACCAGCCAATATTTAGAGACAAGCATGGGGGATGGGCAGAACAAGGGAAGAGTCCTGGCCATGCACAGTGTATTAGAGAAATAGCAAAGATGCTGACATGGCTGGGGCAAAGCACGAGATAAGCAAGGGGAAAGAGAAATGACAGGATTCATCCTGCTGAGTCTTGTAAACTAGTATATGGACTTTGGGATTTCTCTCAAGCTGATTGGAGGATTGAGAGCAAGGTAGTGAAATGAACTGACTTACTTTTAAAAAGGCCACACTGTTGTTATATGGATGAGAGGCTGTAGGGGCTAGGGCAAAATCGGGCACCCAACTGTACATTAGTCCTGCAGATGTGGATAGGTATAGAGATAGGGATAAGGATAGGGATAAGGATAGGGATAGGGATAGGGATAGGGGTAGGGATAGGGATGAGATGGAGCCGGAGAGATGGAGACGGAGATTTAGAGATAGAGATAGATAGATAGAGATAGTAAAGATAGAAATAGCAATAATGATATTGAAAACTACTAAGTGAAAACTACTCAGAACCAGGATACATTTTGAAGGTAGAAAGAGGATGTGTTGTTGGGCATGAATTGATACAAACGAAGAATGACTTTAAGAATTTGAATCAGAAATGCAGATCCCATTTCCTTTTTCAAATATTAAACAGAAAGTTTAATGTGACCTTAAATTGCTCATTTAAGCACCAAAAACAAAGATAGAAACAAATTGTGGCATCATAAGATAAAGACAGAGTGGTGCCCAAGAAAATCATAACTTTGGGTTGGGGCCAGAGAAAACCCATAATGGAGGTAGGGAAAGGAACTGATGATGTCGTAGGTGATGTCCTCAGTAACAGCGTTATCATCATCATTATCAGCACCCTAGCTAATGTTTTTAATAGCACTTACTCTGTTCTATGCATTGTTTTATTTATTTATTTATTATTTATTTATTTTTCATACTGGGCATCAAACTCAGGACCTTGTGCTTGCCAGGCAAGTGCTTATGCTACTGAGCTAGATCCCCAGCCCTCTGTGCATTGTTTTAAACACACTGCACATATTAATTCATTTCATTCTCACAACTCATTAGGTCAATAATATTATCCCTACTTTACAGATGAAGGAAGCCAAATAACTTGCCTAAGGCCACACAGCTAGTAAATTGGGAAGCTGAGATCTGAACCTAGGAAATCTGACTCCAGCATTCCTGCTACCCCTTCGGTTATATCTTCAGGGCTAACAAAAGAAGGGCAAGCTGGATTGGGTGGCACAGCCTATAATCCCAGCTACTCATTTCACAAGCTGTCACTTCCTAAAAATGGCTCAGGACAAATATTCAACTTAGACTACATTTACCTGCTGCTTGCTGGGCTAATGGCCAGGTGCCAGGCAACCCTGGAGGCAGGATGCCCATACTGGACATTGGAGTTTCAGATGGCTGAGAGCTTATACTATCTTCTCTGGTAGGGATCAGATACGAGTACTGGACCACCTTCTGCAGCACTCTCTTGTTCAGATGACACCCCCTATATTGTTGACAGTATATCTTCTTCCAGCCTTCAGAGTGAGGGACAATGTGTACTTAAATTATGCTAAGGTGGCCTTAAGTCTTTGAAATGCAAGCAAAGGATGTAAATTTCTGATTTTTTAACTTCAATTTGATCTTCACTATGTCTAAAATATTGCACTTTGTTCTCAATAACATGCTCCTTGGTTCTACTAGGAGAAGCTCACCCTGACACAACCCAAACCCCTGCTGGGCACTCAGCACATAGCTTGGTAGATTTTACTATTGTTCACAATTGTTGGTTCCCTCCCCACCTTTACCACTGCCTCCTGTGTAGATTAACAGTTCTTCTAGTCCCACTGAGACAGAGACCACTGAGATGGGACAAAAGACTGGGATGACAAAATAAACCCCTGGGTGCAATAAACTATAACCCTTTACAACATGGCTTATTTTTTTTCCTCTATCTTTGTGTTCTTTTCTACAGATCCATCATGAGACTCTAATAAAATCCTAGAAGCAGAACATTTGCATGAAATGAGAAATTGACACCAAGGAAAAATCTAAATAAGCCCGCTGGCTTCATTTGCTCTTAGCACACTTAAAAACCACTATTTTGGAGGTCACACATCTAGGTGATATA